TCTGAAGATAGGGAAAGGGTTTTTTTTTTTTAGTAGTCGTCTCGTCTGAGTTGGAAGAAGGGAACCCTAAAATTAAAACATCTCTAATTAAAAAAAAAAAGAAATAAATATCTTCTTTATTTATTTATGTTTTGGTTGGTCAGTGTAAGAAACGCAATAAAAAGATTAAGAAAGCCATTTGAGAACAAGACAAAAACCATAGCCCACTCTTTTCATTAAAATCTTTTCAATACCACTAAGACAAAGAGATGTTATGGTTAGCCAATACTAAAAAAAAAAAAATATCTTTTATTTGAGAATTCGGGCCCTTTAATTTACAACCATAACAAACACAACCACATATAGATGTTATGGTTACCCAATATATAAAATCCCAATTAAAAATGCTATAAAAATTTCTAAATTTAGTTGACTAGTAGTGGGTGTAGATCACAAACATGTTGAAAATGTTATAATTGTATATTCCTGTGTTTCCAATGTGAGACTCATATTTTATACAACACTGCACTTGTTCATAGTCAGAGCTTGTCCCTCACAACAATTCCAATATTTTTGTCTCTCTCTAAAGAATAACCGGAATTGTTCATTGATATTCAAAGTTATCAACACAGATTTCAAATAGATAATATTTGTGATCATCACTACCTTCTATATCATCGATAATCTTGATTCAATATAACTAAGCATCATTAGATCCTGGACTACTCAAATCAATCCTCTTCTCGATCGGGCTACTCATCGTCTTATGACTCTTTCTCTTGTTCGAGTTGCTGCTTCTCTCTGCAGAATAAAGAGGACTACTACTACTACTAAATTGCTTCAACAACTTGCGGTTTTCTTTATCGAGCTCTCTGTTTTGCTTGCACACGAATTCGACTTCTTGCTCGGCTTTATCGAGATTCAAGACCAGGCATTCTTTAACCTTTTCCAACTTGTTAACCATCGAAACCAAAGACACAACTTTTCGACTCGACGGCTTCAATAGATCCCATTCACTCAACAAAGCTTGACAAGATTTGTCATGAACGTTCGCTTCCAAGAAGATCCTCCCCAATTTTGTAGCCTCATCTTCGCTAACGAACAACGATGCCAAAACCGAATCAACCAAACAATCTTCTTCTTTTGTGCTATATGATTCGACTGGACGCTTCATTTTTCTCACTTCTTCCTCCAATTCACGAACCCTAGACTCTGCTTCTCTCGCTCTTTCGTCAGATTCGTTACCGAAATCCATCAATGCTTCACGATCTTGATGATAAAGAAAGCATTCTCTTTCCCACTTCTTACACTGATTCACTAAATCCTCACACTCACCTGCTAATCTCTGATTCTCTTCGACGAATTTCTTCAAAGCTTGCGCATTTATACTGGATTCGGATCTAACGCCTTCGATTACTTGATCTTTCTCTTTCAATCTGGAAACGAGAGACAGATACTGTTCACGGAGACGACGCTGAGATTCTTCAGCCGTGTAGAGTTTCTTCTGGAGAACTTCCATGGAAATCGGAATCCCTAAAGAGTGTTCGATTGTCTCTTTGATGTAATCATCGACTTCTTGCGAGAGATCCATTTGTTTTTCGCTTGATCCAAAAGAAAACTCGGAGAAATCAACAAGAAAATGGACAGAGTGTTCGTTTCTAGGGCTTCTGGATTTCAAAAAGACGATTCGAAATTCAAAATTGAAATCGGAGACTATTTTAGTATTTGACTCGATGAACCTTCTATTATTGGGCCGAAATTTTAGCCCTTTACTTAATTTTATTCATTTTCTCCATTAAACACAAATATAAAATCTTAAATTGATCTTCTAATTAAACCATATTTATTGTGCAGCAGACAGGACAGGACACTGAATTACAGAAGAGTGACACAGTGAGTTGATAAAGGGAAAATTAAGAGTTTTGAAATTTCTTAGATACAAATAAACTCGAATAAAACAGTATTTTCGTCTTTTACAATAAAAATATATAGAAAAGGATACAAGTAAATTTAATTTCTGTAACCCAAAATAAAGAGAAGAAGAGAGACTCACCTAATGAGAAGTGATGCTTTCTAGAAAATAATCAGACAATGTCTTGTTTTGTGTCTCTCTTCTTTCTAACAAACCTATCTCTTTATCTTCTTTGTTCTAGCAAAATTCGTGAGGC